GCAAAGGGGTGTGGCTGGCCCGAGTCAAGTCCACAGGGAGATCTGAGCTGCAAGCTGAGCCATGGGAAAGAAAAGCAGTTCCAGATAATGCTGCCTGGTCACCTGGGTCCTCCCATGCCTGAAGCCATTTCGGAGTTTTTAGTTACTAGGATCAATAAGCTTCACTCCCCTTTTATCTCATTTGATTTTAGTTTCCTTCACTTGCTGCCCAAAGCACATGCATGTATGCAATTACTCAAATGACAAGGTCTGTTTGTTTGTGTTTGGGCTCCCTCGCTGAGACAGTCCTTATGGACACTGTCTGATTTAAGAAAAAAGTAAACAAGATGGACAGGGCTGGGAATTTAGCTCAGTGGTGCGACCACTTGTCTTGCGAGTGCAAGGCCCCGAGTTCGATTCCTAGTACAAAAAGAAAAAGCTGTTTGTAAGAAACACTGTAGGGGCTGCTGGACTGATGGGGCCTAGAGCAGGTTAGAGATGCTCTGGGATCAGAAGTAGTAGAGGGCTCTTCGGCCCTGGGTTCCTTGTGTCAAGTTCGGTTCTAGGGACTGGGGGCATAAGTGGCAATCTCAAGCCTATCAGAGTCCCACCGACTTGGAGGCTTAGAAGATTCTCATGGATCTTGAGGCCAGACTCCTGGGGTGGAAAGTGTGGCAGGGCTGTCTCCTTCTGCAGATTCTGAGATAGGAGATCTGGACATGGCAAAGGGCAAGACAATTAGACTTGACCTGTCGATCACAAAGATCACATGCCTTGGATTTGACAACAGAAGGAGGCTATAAAAGATGGTGGTCATTGGCCTTGTAACCACTGTCTTCTTGCTTTTGCAGTGACTATGTGTGCAGGGTGTATTTTTTCTTTAGAGAACTTCATCTTCTTTTCACTTTTTTCTTCTTTGAGCAGGACAAGAGTCTGGAAAGGACCAGTGAGCACCTCACCATCTGGTAACAGTTCTAGGGGAGGATTTGTTTCCAGATCATTCATGGCTCCTGGTGGCCCTGGCACCCTCACCCCACAGGTGCATTATCGTGTCCCTGGTTTGGTTGTCACACAGCACTCTCCTTCTGTGTCTGTAACACGGCTTTTGAAAGGACACCAGTCACCCTAATGTACCAGAACCTCAACTAGTTATAGTTGCAAAGACCTTTCCAGATAGTCTTGTTGTTTTGGGGTTGTCGTTTTTTGAGATAATATGTCCTTGAATTTACGATCCTCCTGCCTCAGCCTTCTGAGGGCTGGGATTACAGGAGTGCACCACTGTGCCCAGTCAAGTAAGTTCATATTTTGAGGTTCCAGGTGAATGTGAATTTGGGGGAGATAACGTTACACTCATAAGAAGCCAGGTTACCCTTTGTTGCAAGAGGTGATGAGAAATGTGTTTGGGAAGAGGGGCCTCTGACTTCACAGATGAAGGTACCAGATTTACCTTCCCATCAGCACTGGTAGACTATTCCTGTTGAGGATGTTCTGGTTCTTCCAGAAAGGGGCTTAGGTGTTAGACACCTGCCTGCCTACACACACCCTTTTCTCTCATGCACACATTTCTAAAATGTCCATCCCTCTGCCCATGGCTGGAGCATCTGAGCATGTCCTGTTGTTCCCTTGCCCTGCAGCCTCAAGTCTTTGGTGGGCAGACTCCTTTGGGTCCTCCGTGGGGCCATGGTGGAGGTGCAGGGCAGCCCTTCTACGCTGAGCTGATTCCTTTCTTGGATATCTTTGAGGTCTTCCATCTGCATTATGTCCAGGGTTGTCCGTTCTAGGAGCCCTCGGTCTGCGTGAGCTTCTGATTCATGCTAAGCAGCCTTGCAGATTCTCAGGACAGCCTCCACCCACACCCCCGCCAGGGGCCCTGAACACGGGGCAGGGGGAGGGAGGGAATCAGACACGCATGCGCACCAGCACATTCCACACGGAGTCCAACTGTACAACGCCCTCTGGACCGCGTTCCCACAGTCACTCAGATGTTTGATGCTGCAGATTTTGGAATTCTTGCTTTCCTCTCCGCCTACTGGTCCAGCTGGGCTCTGACCTGCTGTAAGGATGACTGAGAACCTGGGGGCCTAGCGGGTCCTGAGCTCCTCTCCTGCAACCCATCTCCCTCAAGAGGGCAGCAGCTCTTTAGGGAATGGCAAGCCAGTCCAAAGAAAACAACCTCCTTCAGGCTGGAGACACCCAGGGGTCGTTCCGGATCTGTCCTGTGTCTCCTGGAGCTTTCTTTTCTGGTATCCCTTGCTCCAAGAACATATGTGAACCTTATGTGAAGCTGCAGTTAAATGTTCAGAAATGTTTGTTGAATGAATAATAGACTCATGAAGTTGTGGAATTCAACAGATTTTTTTTTGTTTTGTTTTTGTTTTTGTTTTGCTGTGCTGAGAGTCAAACCTCCAGGCCTGGTGCATACTAGGCAAGGGCTCTACCAGGCCCAACTGCTGTTCTAATTCAGCAAATCACAGAAGTGTATTGTGAGGGTTGTTTTCTTCCTCCAAGTCAGTCAGCCTTCAGGCTACTGAAAAAAGAAAGAATTTCTTTCAGCTTTGGTATAGAAAGTTCCTGACCTTCAGTCCAGATCTCAACACAAGAAATAGGATCTAGCTGTTCTTCGGTTAACTTTAGGGTCTCAGCACTGGCAGAAGAAAGCTTCTTCCCTGGCTACGGGCCCCGCCTCCCC